CACACTCAGGTAACCGTAATGACAGCAAGATTGTGAGATGTCCATAAAATAAACACAACTACAATGCTAACAGAGCGAACCAGTGGGATTGCCACAAGGCGGGAAGGTGGGATCACGCGAATGTCAATTTTGAGCATAAACTAGTGGCGCTCATTTATTGACTAGACTGATGTAGAATTTACTGACCTAATTATAAGTAGTCCACTGGTTGCAAACAGCTACATTCCAGCAAAGTCGACTGGAGAATGCACCGGTAGTATTAAAAAGATTCGCAGAGAAAACGAATATACCAAAGCTTGTGCAGGCGGGGATGACTAATAATTAGTCCGACCATGTAGTTAAAAGCTCCAGTTAATGGAAACCCGCACTGAATAAGCCTAGCGACAGACACAGCCGTTCATGGATTTAAAGTGATCAAGTGAAATGTTGGAGCTTTCCCTGGTGGAAGGAATGCACAACCTATTGTGGAAAAATGTCCTAGACAGATGGCACCTTGAATAATTTGGCGTACCAAGCAAGTCAATCTAATTTTGACCTGGATTCACTGCTAGCAGCTGATGAGTTAGTGGAATCTGGTTGTGGAGTTTGGCTGCGAGAATCAACGTCGGAAATTTGTTTGCTGTCCCCTCCAAATACCAAGGGCGGTGATTTCAATGCGGATTTATTGTGAAGTCCATTGGTGTTGCCATTAGAAACCATGGTGCTATAATGGCCAGAATCTTGATAAGTGGAATCGCCGTGACTTGAGGCACTCACATGGGACGTAGTAATAGGAAGACCGCATTGAGGAGAATGATAAGCAGGCGATACATGGGATTGGACGTAGCGATATTGCTGGACGCCTTGTGCCTGTTGATTAATTGATTGAAGTTGAGCTGCGCCAAACAAACCCTGAGCTGCTACGTGGTTATGAGGATGAGGAAAAACGAAGGCAGGAGCAGCAAAAGGAGCCTGAGAGTGAGGATTGGCCGCAAAGTTGATGTTGGGATTAGAAAGAGGAGCACCAGCATAGGTAAGCCCAGTGCTAACGGGAATTCCAGCAGATGGGATCCCCGCTTGCAGCCAGAATGTTGCAGTCTGATTAGAAGACTGTGATGCACCGTTTGGTGGGCTTCCGGAGACCTGTGAAGCTCGTGAAGCATTTATGATAGAAGCGGCCGCAGCGATAGATGCAGCCTGATTTTGGGCACTGGCTGTGCCAACTGATAAAGGATATTGTCCAGAAGCAATATGCGCAGATGGATGATAAATTGAATTGGCTACTGAGACAGGATGACTTACTACTCCCGAATTCGAGATAGAGGCAGTGTGAGGCGGTTGCATCAATTGCAGTAGAACAGTAGGTTGTGCCTGAGCCTGGTGAGCAGGGACAGATGCAGCGTTCGATAGGGTAGGTTGTCCAGAAAGAGTATGCGGACCGAAAATATTAGGCGCTGTGGCCGCAGAAGAGATAGCACCTCCAGAGAGAGACATCCTATAGACCGCCGCCATAAGTGATGCCGCATCGACCGACCCAGGGGGGGAATTACCTGCCAAGTGTGCGTTTATAAGGGGAAGAGAGGCATTATGAGGAAATGAAAAGTGAAAGGGGCCAACGGCGGGGGCAATGGCAGGAATCGCAGGAGGTAGGGCATGGTAGTAATGTGTCTGAGATGGTTGGCCAGGGAAAATAGTGGCTGCCGGAGAGGCGTTTCCGATAATGGGAGGTGATGCTAGCAAGTAAGCCCCAGGAGGTTGGAAGGGTAAAAAGTGAGACGTCTGGTTGGCGCTATGAACGTGTGGAGAGGGTGTAGGGGTTGCAGCGTTAAAGTTGGGAAGAATAATAGCACTTGAGATAGAATCAGTGGGTGTATACGTATGGTTAGCTGGAAAAGAAACGACTAAAGGATGAGAAGGAAATTGCAGCTCAGGTATGGCTGGGTCTAGAGAAAAAGATGATAAGGAAGAAGCTACATCTGGTGGAGGACCCTGGAAACTGGTTTGTCCGGATTGGATCCCTGGCGTAATTGAATGAACATGACTATCGGAATCCGCTGCATCGGTAGAGGGAGATGGAGGAATGATACGAGTTATACCAAAAGGGGAGCCGTCCGAGCATGTGACAGTAACGACATTACTGCCCGAAACAGCATCAAGCAATTCGTTCTTTGTGGTCGAGGCCCAACGAAGCCGATTAAAGAGCAGGAGATCGGAAATTGGGCAAGTGTTCAAATTGCTTGAAAGAATAGATTTCAAGTGTTCATCACGTGAGAGATTCCAATCACTGAAGTAATATTCCCTAAACAAATTTTAGAAATTAAAATAATGATTCATATAAGAGAATTCAAAAGCTAAGAAATAACAAGACTTACACGTGATGCCGTATATAGTTAAGCTTTGAATCGAACTTAAGAAACATCGTGCGATGAAGGTTGCGAGGAACAAAGAATAAACGGTTATCAACGATTAATACGTCTTCTGGTTTGGTTGGCAATCTGGATTCGAAGTCGTCTCTACTTATTTGCCGAACACGAGAACTGCCTTCAATATGAGGGTAAAGAGAGTCACTCTTAGAGTTTGAAATAATCAAGGAACCATCCTTCCGAACGTTAGCTCCTTCATTAGTGGAATGCACAGCTTCGGATGACAATAGCTTGGCATTCTCCCTCTTTATTGATTCCAAAATGATAGAGTTATCCTGGAGGTCAGGAGGCAAATGAACTTTCATCCACCCTCCGTTTGATTCAACAAAAGCAACTAGCTGGTTTATATCAACAGGTTCATATAAAGGAGAACGAGTTCCACTGGAGGCGACTCCCGGTGAGGTCAAGCCAGTGTTTGCGGAGGTAAGCCCAGTGGAGTAAGAAATGTTGCCAGCAAGCGAACTTGGAGTCATCTCTGAAGAATATAAAGATAATGGAGCGCCGGAAGGCAAACTATTACCAGCAGATGTGGGAGCTCCACCCACGAGAGAAAAACTGTTTGCATCTGACAAACCAACTCCGGGAACAGGAGCTGTATGGACCCCTTGTGCGTTAAGTGCGGCAGCGTATACAACAGGTGGGACAATATTACTAGCAGGAACTGGCAAGGTGGGAGCAGCAATAGTATTGTCTGCAAGATTAGGAGGGATTACCGGAGTTGCAGCTTGGGCAGCAGGAGTAATTGCTGGAGCCATAATATGGCCAGGAAAGAAATATGCAACTAAAAAAATTAAAAAATACACTATTACTTAAGAGAATAGATAAGACGCAAAACTATTGAACTGATAGCTTACGGCGTGCTTGTAAAAGCGGTTGAGGAACAACGGGTGCCACAACAGTCTGCAATGAGCGGGAATCTTGGTCACCCGCATAGTAATTTTGAGGGCGCAAATGAGAACGCCTCGCCCTAGCGGAAGGTCCAAGTTCGTTGAAACCGATTGATTGTTGGGTCTCCCCAATGGGAACAGAGTGACGATCTCTGAAACTTTTTTTGGCAGGTTGAGTAGCTGTATTTGTAATAGGTGCGGAAATACCACCATTTGAAGCCGGATCACTTGTATTAGCTTCGTTTATGGTGGAAATAGCATGTGATTGAGGGTCTCCAGAATTGGAAGGTAAAATTGTCTGCCCTTTAGAAATTTCGTCACTGGCGCCAAATTGAACAAGATGAGTCTGAGGCAGATCAGCGACACTACC